TCTGATCTCCACACTGGACTCACAGACACCAGACTCCTGTGGGCTCTGATCTCCACACTGGACTCACAGAGACACCAGACTCCTGTGGGCTCTGATCTCCACACTGGACTTACAGAGACACCAGACTCCTGTGGGCTCTGATCTCCACACTGGACTCACAGAGACACCAGACTCCTGTGGGCTCTGATCTCCAAACTGGACCCACAGAGACACCAGACTCCTGTGGGCTCTGATCTCCAAACTGGACCCACAGAGACACCAGACTCCTGTGGGCTCTGATCTCCACACTGGACCCACAGAGACACCAGACCCGTGGGCTCTGATCTCCACACTGGACTCACAGCGTCCTCCTGTGCTCTCAGTTACTCAAAACTAGCTTAGCCCATCCCCAGGAATCTGCCTCTCATACCCTGGACTTAGAAGAATAAATTTCTGAAGTCCAGTGTCAAAGAGAGGCAGTATGTTATGTATGTCATTAAGTCCCATCAGGCTACTCACTAGACCAACCAACATCCTAAAGCCCGTCAAGAAAAATAACTTCCTCCTAAATTTCCCCAGTCCTTCCCTTTCACTACAGGCTGTTGCAGAACAAGCAGAGGTCGGTCACCGCAGGAAGGGGGCGGGCATTTAAGGTGCTCAGAAGCAGCAATCGACAGTTTAACACGGTGCCGGAGAATTTGCATGGGCTGTTATCTGACTGTGACTCAGCCTGCGCGAAAAGGCCAGTGGGTTCTGCTCGTGTTCGTGTCTGTTTGCAGCGCACACGTCCCGACGCAGGCGAAACCTGAAATACAACAGGTGCCCGATCTCCATCTCGGCAGGTCTGCGGTCTCCTGCCACTTTAAAATGAGCAGAGCCGTGGCGTGAGGTACCACGTCACACCCCGCACCCCCGAAACGCAGCGACGCTGGAGGTGACACGGCTCTGCGCCACACGCAGGGCCTCACGCAGACGCTCGCTAGGAGGAGGGTGATCTATAACAGCGCTAGGGACATACGGGGGGGGGGGCTCATTTTAATCTGTCACGGGTTCCTTGGAGCGGTACTGGGAGCTGTCGGCACCCTTAGCACCACAAGCCCGTTTGGGAAAAATCATCTTCATAATACACACAGTGTGGTTTTGTTGACACGGAATGTACGTCTTGTCTAAAAAGAAAACACTGACAGCAGGAAAGGGTTTGAAACAGACAGCCCAGAGACGTGACATTTGATTGATGAAGTAAACATCCGCCAACATCGTCGACCTAACTCCGCCCATCGCCCCCCAGCTCAGCCCTGGTTCCGGACGGGTCCAGATCTCTCTTTCAGCGCCTGCAGGCAACAGCAACCTTTGCAGCTACGCTGCCTGTAGCCGGCCAGGGCGGTCGCTGGTTCCGGAATGTGAATAATTCAGGGTGAGGTCTCTGTAATCATAGTGTCGTACTGCACTTGTCCGATGAACCTGCAAGAGTCCCGACACTCGCTCGGTTCGGAAGCCTCCGACCCAGCCCCCGTGTCCCGCATCGGTCCCGGACCGACCCTGCCCGATGCAGCGGACCCCCTGGCAGCGCCCCAGCCCCACCAGCCCACCGCCCCGGCCCCAGGTCCCCCGCCGCACTCACTGATCCGAGACTCCAGGGTCTCCTCGTCTGGCGGCGCCGCCATCTTGGGGGAATCCACACACGCTAGCGGCTCTCCAGATCTCGCGAGGAGGCCCCGCTGAACTCTCGCGAGAAACCCTCTTCCTGGCCGGTTGTCAAGGAAGCGTGTGCGGTGACGTCATTAGGGCGGGTCCTAAGCGCACAACAAGGCATGTGTTTCTGTTCCTCATTTGAGCTCTGTCATTGCTCAACTTCACCTGCGTGCATGCGGTTAGTAAGGGAACACAATACACTTAAAGAGCTATAAAACATTGAATATATTTGGGTCTTATTTTTAGCAGTGGTTAGTTTGGGTGTTAAAGTGGATATTGGCCAATGGGGGTAAAGGCTTTGGCCCGACAGTAAGAGAGGGCTTCAGTAAGAGAAGCTGGTGGACCAGCAGGTGGCGCTCTGTCCCCTGGGCCACAGCGAGTGCACCAGTACAGTGACGGGGGGGGCACTGACTGCGAAGGAGACGTTAAACCGAGGCCCTGAGTGCTTGGTTATCACAGGACCCTCAGTGCTGGGATGGGTGTTAAACCTGCAGGCACTGAGGACGTCCGTCTGTCTGTCTCCCAGACACGCAGACAACACAGCTGACGTGACGCAAACCACAGCTTCAGAAATCTGTTCAGGTTTCTGATCTCCACTGCTGTTTAACCACCAGAGCAGATGGCTGTTCGTATTCCCAGGACTGAGAGCCACTGCTTGCTCTTACAAAGGACCATAGCCCTTGCTAAGGAGGGGGGGGGGGACATTAGGGGCCAGTGCCCCCCCCCATGTGGGCTAACATGCTCCCCCCCCCAAAAAAAGAAATTTCTAATAAACTGGAAAAAATGTTTTCGGCTATTTTTTTTCAGAAATATTGAAAATCTTTATGTAACTCATCTCAGATTTCAGTCCGATTTTCTTTTTCTGTCATGACGAGTGGGAAAAGGTCACTGGGCCCTGCGTCCCCACTGAGGTCTCAGGACGGGATTTACGATACCACACACCAGGCCAGAAATGGTTCAATCTCATTTCATTAATCAGAAAGCTGGGCTGACAGTAGTCTTAAGGATGGATATTCAGATTTAAGACTTAAGATCACTTTATTGGCCATATACAGTTTCTTGCACTAGGAATGTGTCTTTTCACAGACCCCAGCTTGCTCTCCATGAGACACACAGACAGGGAGAGAAGCTGGGGGTCAGAGCGCAGGGTCAGTTGGGGTGAAGGGCCTTGCTCAGGGGCCCAACAGAGTACGATTCCTCTGCCGGCCGCGGGATATAAACTGGCAACCATCCACGTTTTTAATGATTGTACTACACAGTAATAATTGATGATACATGTAGTCAAAGAAATTTGACAGCTGTATTACTAAATACGGTGTTGGGGGAAAGTTTGAGTTCGTTCTTTTAAAGTGATTTAAATTACTGGTGTAAAGGATTACTTGTGATAATTAGAACGGCGAAAAATCATTTTTGAAAGGTCCTGAGTTACTATCCTATGGTTACAATTCAACCCTCAGAACTTCATATCCAATGACGAAGTAGGAACACAGTCCAATGTTAAAAAAAAAAAACCTGGTGTAACAACAGATTCTGGAGGAGCGATGTCGTGCTGAATTACGTGTGTGACGGACAGACTCACTAACACGAGCAAGGGCGATAGCTCATAGCAGGCGTAACTTTAAAAGTGAGCACACCCCAAACTTCAGGGTGGGGGAGTGTTTGCGTGCACCTCGAAATCCTCCCGTATTAGGAAGGGAGACGAGAAGGGTGCACCTTTAAGATGACAGAATCCCTCTGGACTCCGGAGGGTGAGGGCGCCCTCTGCGTCAGCCACAGCAGGGCAGGTCCACAGCGCCGTCCGTGTGCGTCTCCAGCCCCGTAGCTCAGCGACGGCGCCCCGGCTGAAGCCGAGCCAGGAAACGGCGTGGAGGCGATGGGAGCCTGAGAGGAGGTTCAGCCCGGAGCAGATCTCGCCGTGTTTTTTTTAAGGGATGAAAGCGCCAGCATGAGATGGGCTGTTCCGGGCTTTAAAAAAAAAAAAGGAGAAAGGATTTTAATTTTTGTCAAGTAAAAACGAAAAAAAAAAGAGACTTATTTTCATTGCATCGGGAGTTTGGGGAGTGTCGCGCATGTGGACGAGAGGCTGGGTGTCTCTGTGTGTGTGTGAGCGACGCTTGCTCGGAGTTTCAGTTCAACTGATGTGTTTTTTTTTTCCCCCTGCTGCTGCTACAAGAGGCTGCTTTGTGAAGCCAGGGCGACGGAAGAGAAGTGCTCTTGGGCTGCAGCTCAGACATAAACGGATCTGGATACACGGGGAGAGAGAAGCAGACACTGTATCGGCGCTGCGCCCAGACTTGTAGCCGGTGGCCGACTGGGGAGCAGGACTGCTGGGGGACACCGGGCTCCGTGTCGGCGCTAGGGCTCTGAACTTGGAGCCCTTCCTCTGAAGTGGTCTTGCCTGGACTTTGGAGAGGATTAATTCAAGCTTGTATTTTTTTTTTCATCTCGTTTCCCTCCCCCCTCTCTGTGCGACGATCGTGAGATCGATGGGATAGATGTATATCCACAAAACGGCAAAAAAAAACAACAACAAACAACAACAACAAACACGCACACACGCTGGATCGATCTCGTAGCCTGTGATCATTTAAAAATATTTTTTCTAGGTGGGGGAAAAAAAAAGTATCGCTGTGTTCCGTGCGTGTCGGATTTCGTGGTGTTTGAAAATGATTTCTGCACACCCCACGTAGTTACGACTCGCTGGTACCTGCTGAAAGTTGGTACTGACGTGATGTTTTGTAAGATAACTTGTTATTTTTAGCATCTGGGGAGAGCTTTGTAAGCTTTCCTTATTCTGATTGTGGTGGTTGTTTTTTTCTGGTGGTTCCACTGGGAGAAAAGGAACGGACACGATTTTTTTTTGTATTTTTTTTTTTTAAATCTGCTAAAACATGGGATCTTTGAAGGCACTTCAGGAGTGGTGTCGCATACAGTGCGAAGGTTACCCCGGCGTGGAAGTCAGAAACATGACCTCGTCCTTCCGAGACGGGATGGCTTTCTGTGCCATAATTCACAAGCACCGACCCGACTTGATGTAAGTATCGGCACGTCTCTCGCCGTGGTGCCTGAGCGCAGCCGCCTCCCAGTGCGGCCCGCTCAGCCTCGGGTTCGATTGGAGCGGTGCCCGGTCGAGGGGGCACGGAGGCCGGGGGGACCGTTTTGGAAGCGGCCGGTGTCAGGGTCGTGTTACAGGGATGAGGGTAAACGGTCTGGCTGAACGGTACCGGTTTTTTTTTTTTAAATCGATTTAGACTCTGACTGACCTTGGGAGTTTTGCTGACATGGTTTATTTATGACGCTTTAAGCAAGACTTAAAAACTTTCCCCGGCGACTGGGTTGTAGTTTGCGACACATGAGAGCGGCCCGTAATTTCAAAAGGTGGCGAAAAAACCCGCGTTATTGCTGCTGTCAATAAACCACATTGATACGAACTGAGACGAGCGGAGTCCGCAGGGCAGTGTGACTGTCCAGGACGTCGGGTTTACGACGGGAAAGAGAGATACTGTTCGAACTTCGCACTGTAAAGGAGAACCAGTGCGGTTTTATCTGCAAACGTGCGATATTTCACTCAGCTGCGAAACACAACCTGACTATATTTAGTAGGTGGAATAAAAAGGCTGTTTTTTTTGCTAGAGAAGGGGTGGGGGTGCTGAGTGAC